CACCCCGAAAACCAACCCCCAAGCCAAACCAACCACGTTTGTCCCCGCTGCTACACCACGCCGTTATTATTTGTCATCATCAGTGCGGTGGGAAATCGATATTTATTGCGAAGCGGCATAATTCATCGGCCCCGCATTAGCCATTATTTATGTCCGTCTCTGTGCGCGCTCAACGAGGATCAGCCACTTTTCATAATTGGATTTACGACTTTCGAGAGGGCGACGTCCCGTGTGGTTTTTAGGGTTCATTATTTGAGGTAATGGAGTGGTATGTTGTAATTCGGATTAAAATAACTGCCAAATTACAAAAAAAAATCCTCTTCTTTTGTCAGAATGAAACAGACTCAAAAACTTTCAACCCCTCATCAATATTCGATCGCACTTTCTCGGTGCATTTGAATATCTCCTGAGGCACCGTTGAAAGTATATCTATCGGCACTTTACGGCTTCGATGAATAATTGAAAAATTCACTTTTTCGCGTGAGAGGGGTCGCGCGCGTTCGCCAGACCATCCCCTTCAGCAGATGCGTTTTGGCATGGGCGAGTTAGGCATGCGTCATTATACACTCGGCCCGGGGCTCCATTCGCGCCTCAATAATTTTCCATCATCATCCCTTTCGCGGCGGCAGGTGGATGGACGGGAGATAATCAGAAGTGGCTGCTGCAGGCTGTTCTAGAGGTGCCGTTGTTCACGCACCGGTGCGCAAATCACGTGCGTGTGCAGTCAGGCCCACGTCAGGCTAGGGTTGCGTTATTCTCTTGGCGGGGATTACTGCACAAAATCGAGTTGCGGTTTCATCTTCGGAGTTGGTACCAAACCATTTGCTAATGGGGGGAGAAAGGAACGTGATCCATTATGTGCTACGAATCGCATGTTCTTAGCACTCAATGTCTACAAAATTTACAGGGAATTTTGTAATTTAATTTTGAATGTAAATTATATCACTGGTTTGAATGGGACTTTTTAGCAGAAAAAATTAAAATTGAAATAAATTTATACAATTATTTAGTTTCATATTTCTATTTATATAAAAATAAAAATTGTATAGTACAATGAAATTTCATAAAAATAATAAAATTATGATGATACTTTTTTTTAAATTTATCAGAGCACCAAAGTTTTGTTTTATTAAAAGAAATACAATAGAGTTTAATTATAACATTTCAATGAGCCGCTCTTAAAAAAAGAATCCAATATTTTGTTTTGCCTAATGCTGCCGAGTTTACAAAATTTGAAGACGGAAAAACTATTTCCCCGACTTTTCATATCTGCAATGTATGTAAGTATGCCATTCTGTAAGAAAATGTTCGTCTCTTCCTCTTGAGATAGAGAGTCAAAAATCCCCGGCTCTTCCTCCTTTTCACGGACAAAATTAAGCCATTTCATATCTGCCGGCGTCGTCGGAGGGGTTTCATTACATCTGTAGTATCACACCCTCGCATACAGTTCACTCACTCGGCAAATACAAATCCTCTGCTCGAGAGCAGGGCGGAGGGAAACCCAGCCCGCACTGCACGCAATAATACTGCAAAATAGTTGGCATTCCTGCTTGGCACCTCCGAGACACGACGACCGAAGGACTCAATTCTGCGCGGCGGGTGTTCCTTGCACGTCAAAAACTTGATCTTTCGCCCCCAGATCGCATTTCCAGCAGCCGTTCTCTCTTACTCGTTTAATCCGAGAACACACATATTGAGAAGCCTCAGAAAGGTCTATTAAAATTTGCATGCGTCGTTGACAAAGGTTTCTCTCCACCTCGCCTGCTATATTTTGCATCTCGAACGCGTTTTGCTAACCAAAAAAGTGGGGAAAAAATATGGCGCCGCCAAAATTAATAACGCCGGCCGGTGTTTGGGGGCGAATTTTGCGGCGACACATTAATTTTTATGTCGCTATCGACCGAGCTGGCTTTTTGGTTACATTCGCGTGTGTCGAGAGTTGTTTTTGCGGTGTTCGCCCTTTGCTTTGACGCCTGCTTTTGCCCTTTGTGCTGCACGAGCATGTGTAGCAATTTGAGTGCCTTTTATTCTGCGGTTCCAATTGGATTCGGCGGCGCAAAGGTTTTGTGCGTCTGGCTGCCTGAAATGTCACCTCGGAAATTGAATTTCCGCATGCAGTGCTCTGGTTGAGAAATTAAAAAAGTTAAATGTCATACCACGGCAAATGAACAGTGCTTTTGTGAAAATGAAAATATGTGCTGTTAAAAGAATGGCGTATGCTCATGGAAATATTAGATGGTGCGGAAGAAAAACTTTGAGAATTACAATGCAAAATGAAGGGCTTCAATCAAATATGCAGCGAGACGTTGTAGCGAATTTTAATTTGAAACCATTCAAGCCATATAAAAGCATGACTCTGATCAAATTTCCTTTTCACCAGAATGACTTTTGGAATTGATTGCAACGTGCTGATTAAAAAAAGTAATATTAATCTTGAATGATGAAAATTTAAATAACCAAATAATAAAAGATTTTTGTCAATGAAATTGCAATCTTTTGTTTAATTGCTGCGTCTGCAGGTCACATTAAACTAGACTCTGGGTGCGATTTCGTCTCCTCTCGCGGATGGAGAACGTGATTGGCATGTTTCTTTGGGCAAGAAGAAGACCACTCGACCTTGTCGCCACTCAAAATAAAATTTGCTCCGCCGGCTGTAGGGGACGAGCCAGGAAAGAATTTACGATTTGTATGACGAGAGGGGGCACGAGAGCAGAATAATAAAAAGGCGGAATAATAAAATGTTTACTTTGCAAAAGCACCTCTTTTCATTTCGGAGTACAAAAGAAGCAAAGCGGCTCCCTCAAAGAGTTTTTCTAATTAGCGAAATTTCCACAGTTTCAACGCTGAAACCGCTTTGAATTGCCTATTCATGAGAAAGAGCTATAAAATCACTGCATGGGGATCTGGCTAGAAAAATGAATTCCAAAGCCGGGGGTTCACGTAACGAGGTGCAAAATGTGCCTCCGAAAGCCGCGAAAATTGAAATCATAAACGTGGATTTGATTCAGAGAAAGCGGTCGGGGCGAGAAATTACGGCGGGGGTGGCGAAATCGATGCCACCCTTCTCTTCCTCGCCTATGCAAACAGAGAGGAAAAAAATGTACACTCGCTATCTGCGCTTGCTGTTTTGTGTGCGATAGCGGGTGAGAGGAAAAAACCCTATTAAATCGCGAGCACCGACGCACCAGAGGACGCAGAATATATTTTTCAATTTTTTTCACCGCTCGGCGTGCAGCTCCCCTCGCGGCTCATTTGTTACGCTTATGTTGTCACTTTGCTTCAAATAACACTACCCCCTGACGACGCACACCTTTTTTCAGCATACCAATATTTTCAGCCCCGAGTTGAATTTTGGTCTTTTTTCATACAAAAAAATTTGCATTGCAGTGTTTGCTGAGAGGGTTATTTTTATGCAAATTAATTGCAGTGCGCGTTTGTTTGCTCTGCTGATGGTGGCATGATGAGAATGAATTAATCTTGGTTGCGTTTGTTTTCTCTCTGTCTGTTTGTTTGCTTGCTTGCTAAGTGCAATTTGGCCGTTAATTGCTCCCTTCGTGGAAAGGGTTTCTCCGTGTAACTCGCGCGCGGTGAAGGTTTCTCCGCAAACGATAAGCGCTAAATTACTCTCGGCATTAATCATTTGGTGAAATTCTCCCCCTCAATTCAATTTTCTGCATTGTGAATACATTTTCAAAAATCTTTGCTTGAGGTAAACAAACAATAAATCATAAAGAGGTTTGCAAATCGTTATGAATTATTGTAAAATACAAGCATCGTGGATTGAGCTTAAATTAATGTAACTTTTTTGGCATTATCATAGCGTTTTCAATTTAAACTACCGTCGCATAATTTTTTATTTCAGCGTATTTTTTCAAGTTCTAAAAACATTTTGATTTCTGGTATAACTTCTGCAACTTGGGATTTCTGGGGGTGAAACCGCACCACCTTTTGATAATTAAAAAGAGTGGCTTTTGTTTAACTAATTATGTGGGCTCGGCTCGATAAATTTCGCAGCCGCCAGCAAACAAATTGCCACGACTTTTCCATAGGCTCAAGTTCCAATTAAGCTCTTCCGGCGGAATTTGGCCCTTTCCGAAACAATAAATTTGCCCCTCGGATCCAGCAGGCTCAAATTGTCAAATAAGCAAGCCTCCGGTTTCTTCATCACACATAAATAATTACACAAGCCGCTCTCATATATGCGCACGGAGAGAGCGCGCTTTTGGAATGCCATTCAGGCCGTCGGCGCAAAATAAACACAATGCCTCGCAAGGGTTGAGTGGAACAAAAACAAATTCCTCCGCCGCAGAGAGCAATTACATCTGCCGCTTGCTGCGCCGTCGAATAAAATTCTGGTTTACATGCGAAAGAGGAAACTTTCTTTTTAATTCACTTTAGTTTCTCCTCCCTATCTCTTTTCTTCCTCTCTCGCGACGCCTGTTTTATTATTATTGCCATATGCGAGCGGCGGCGCCGGCATCTTTTTTTCGCTTTTTCCACCACCATGGAAAACTTCCAGAAGGGAACTTGCACAGTGTTTTTAAGAAGGGGCCGTCAGTCCTTTTTTTTCCCCGAGTCTCGCCTGTTCAATTCGGTGCATGCGAACAAGCAGTTAATTATCGCCGGGGAAATTTATTATGAAAATCTAATTACTCAGTCGTCGTCGCCATCATTACACGACGCGCGAAGATAAATAATAAAAAAGTGCTCGCTTGTATTACGATGCTCACTGACAACATAATAGCACCGGAGGAATAAATAATATGCTCTCCTCCCTCTGACGGTTTGAAAAGAGACAAAGGATTTTTTTATTCCTATAAATGTGCTTCTAGTGCACTTTGAAATAACAAAGATGTAGAAACGGGAACGCTTGCAGCGCACAAGAGGGGAACACTTATCTCATGCCTTTTGCAAACCTAAAATTATTAGACTTTTCCTTTGGAGATACCGCGTATTTCATTTTACACTGCACAATTTTGAAACATTTAAAGTCAACTTACCTGATAGCTGAGCAAATCAGTTGGGAGTTTTTAACCAACACAGCTCGCAGAACTGCAATCAGAAAATCAGACGGATCAAAAAAATTGCGCAAATAAATCTTACAATGTAAGAATCCATTGACTCATGTTTCTTAATTGTAAGCTCAGCAACTTTAATTCTGTAATTCCACATAATATGCCCCACGTCTCTTCCTGCACTCAACAAGGGATAGCAGAAATTATACAAATGTGACACACCATGCTGCTAATAAGGTGGATTAGCCCTGTTTTGCGGCTTCTAGTTTGCTGCCGACGTGCAAATCTCCTGTCCGCTTTACGTGCCGAGACTTTGCTTGCAGCATTGCTCTCATGAGGAGTTGGCGAAATAAGCAACCCCATCAGCATTGTCTGTAACCCTTTGATTGGGGGTGTATAGTGCTCTCAAGCACGTCCAGGCACTTGATGGAAATAACCAACCATCAGCAAAAAGTTGCTTTTTTTCAGAATATATCCTCTTCAACGTATAGCACCACGAAATTCGAGCCGCATATCAAGATTGGGTTTCTTTTCAAAGTGAGTGCGCAAATATAATTAATGAGGACGGCCAGGGGGAGAAATTTGAAAGAAGAGATCAAAAAGCACTGAGGAAATTGCGATAAAGTTGGAATCGAAAAAAAAATGTATAAAAAGAAAAAAATTGTATTCTCGTAGATATTGGATTTTGAAATTTATTTATTTTGGGACGCGAAAAGGAGAATTTCGCCATTTGGTGCACGCAAATCAGCGATTGGCGAAGTTCCATTTTGCTGAATAAACAAATTTCCCCCAATATTTATTGGAGCGTTGGCCTGACTTTTTTGATGATGAGAGCAGAGTGTTCTGGCATATTACGTTTAAAGGAGAGAGGCCCTCTTTTGATGTTGTAACAAATGAATAGAGGGACAGGCACTTTTTAATACGCCGATTGCGTGCGGCAATAATCATCGATTTTCCTCGGCCTTGCCGCGCGGAGCACTTTGCATGGCGGCCACTTTAAAACGAGACGAAGGCGTGGGCCCTTAATGACGAGGCACTGTCTCCTGTCGACTTTTGATCCTTCTTTATTAACTATACTATAATATAATATTTTCTTCATTTTGAAATATGACACATTTTAATAACAAAAAAGAAAAAAACTATTTAATTAAAAACAAAATTAAAATCTTGGGATACAATTTTAATTTTGAACTAAACAGTTATTATTGATTTTAGTGAAGAAAAAGCTTATTTTTTTATGGGTCTCTTGTTTTCAACAGAATAAATATATAAGTGGCTTTATCTTATAGGACTCGTTTTCTCTCGCGTTCCCATCTCTCACGCCATTAAAAAACTAAATTTCATTCAAATTATCCGTTCAACTAACTGTGCCTCTCCTCCGTCCGCAGCGCTAATTAGGCGATTGGAATGTATCGAAGGTTTCTCAAGTGCTTTGCGTCTCTGAATCTATTCTGTGTTTATCTCTTTCGCTTGAAAACTAATTTAGTCGAGTGGGTTTAGGTTGATATTGGATTAGCGCAAGCGAAAAACACCAAGAGCAGGTGGCTTTTCGATCGAAAACGGGGGCCATCGGGCGAGGGTTATTGCCCAGAACAGGACGTAAAATTTAACGGGCACCAAAAAGCAGAGGGCAAGCGCAGCCATAATGGACCCCGGAAAGGCCGGTCGGCGATTTCGGCCGCGCACTATCGATTTTTGGCCACCAGGGAATCGTCCGAGAGGGACGGTTGGTGTTTGCAAACCGCTAATTTGATACAGTCCGGCGTGAAATTTAATCCTACGCCAATGTTTTGGCAAACAAACCCTTGAAACTGTGGCTTTGGCAAATGGTTCACTAGTTTAATATTTGCAAAAGAAATCTCACTGGATGCTGGGCAACAAGTGACATAATTATTAACTTCAAAATCTTTGCTGACTAGACTAATTTTATTTAAGGAGTTTTAATTACGGATTTTCAATTTTTTTCTGCATGACTTGAGTAAAATAAACAATAAGAAATAAATAACAATAAACAAATGACATAAAATTTGAGTTTGAAATGCGGCATTTAGTTAACAAATTTGTTAATTTCATCTAGTAACTACAATTGAGATGAATCATGTATAAATTTGGTGAAAAAATGAAGGAATAGCAGATGCTGGAGCTCCATTAACAGATCCGACTTTTCACCCAAAACTTCCCCATGGAACATTCCAACCGAAACGGAAATCTGCGTTTCCACTCAGTTACAAGTTGAGCGGAGAGTTTTGTTCTTCTCAACAGGACCCATATTGGCGCAGACAAAACGGCATAAAATTAGGAATTCCGAACGCGTGCGGAGCAAACTCTCTAGCCGGAGCCATAAAATTTGCATACGAAACGTCGGCGAGGGAGGTTAATTACGCGGGCCCGGTGGTGTTAATTGCCCTTTCGCACCCCGCCGACGGCTGTGATTCGGCTGCCCAATCAATTTGTCGCCGTGCCAAGAACCGACGAAAAACGTATTTTCAAATCCCGCGGGACGCGAAAAGTTGTCGAAAGCGACCAGATAAAAAGAGCAAAAAATACAAAGCGCTGACCCCTGGCTCGGGAAAAGCTGTCGTGGGACTGGTAAGATTGAAGTTTTGGACATGATTGTGTGAGAGGGACGCTCCTAAAACGCCGACGGGGTTAATATAATAAAGCCTCTCGCACTGATCAATGATGGTGAAAATTGAGTTGGCGAGTTTAATCCAGATTGAGGCGAGTGGGCGCCACAATCTGTTGAATAATTTATTCTAATCAGCTTGAATTTAATTAGAAAAAGAGGAGAAAACCGCAACCATTCCTGTAAATTTTCCACTCTCATGCGCTTATTTCGGTCCCCACCGCGCCCCCAAAATCTTGATAAGACAAACGAGTGCCATTTGGGGCCGCTACCGATAAAAGTAAAATGCGCACTTTCCTTGCTTGCGGGCGAATTTGAATCAATCTCCATAAAACGCATGCAGAAAGGCTAATGATGTGCTTTTTTCCAAAGGGGGGCACTACTTCAATTCTCATTCGCGCGGAGATGAAGCTAATTTGCATTGTGAGGAGACGACAAAGCAAGTTTAAAACCAAATTTCTCTCCACCCCTGACGGAAGGTGCCTTCGGGACACGGTTGTCTACGTGAGAAGAAAAAATGGCATGAATAATTTTCACATCACATTCTATTATGATTAGAGATTATCTCCCCCAGCACCTTTTCGTTCAAAATGCTTTCTTTTCTATTAGGATAAAATGCACTCAACTCTTGATCCTTCTTTCATTATGCAAGGGTAAATTGCCATAACACGTATGTAATTTTTTGGACGAGAATACACAACAATAATAATATATTAAGTAATAAATTGAAATAAATAAATATAAATATAATAAATCGTTTGTCGTAAATATTTTTCATTCCTATAAATTTTGAGGACAGCTAAAAGATAACTGCATTAAGAACAAAGGAAAAATAATAACATATGCACTAATTGATTACTTAAATTATGATACTGCGCCACTAAAATTTTATTCTACCAGAATACCAAATAGATTAAACTTTATTTATTTATTTTGTAATGAATTTTAATTACAAATAATCAGTCATAAAAAGTTTTGGTTTCATATTTTTTCATATTAAATTTATCTAACAAAAACGTTCAGCAAAAGAAAAAGCTAATCAAAAAATTCGTAGGTGTCAAATGAGTAAGAGCATTATAAAGACATAAAATTTTCGCTAGAAATAATGACATACATTATACAGAAAAACAGCCGTGAAAACAGGCAACTTCAATCACTGAGACCCAATTTATTTTCCTTCCCTCTGCGGATTAAAATTTTCCATCATGCTGTTCACAATTTTCACAATTTTCCCCGCGAAACGGTTCCGTTCGTCGGATAATTGCATCAGAATGAGTAAAGCCGGTATGAAAATTTCGGCTCCGTGTTTCGTTACTTTTATCGGACGGGTGCGTGAAATACTGCAGCTTTTTGTTACGAGGCGCGTCACGCGAGCAAGCGTTTTATTACAAAGGAGAGCGGCGCCACTCGCAATGAGCAAGACGACGTGGCGCCGCTTTGTTTCGAAGGCGACGCGAATCGATCCGCATGGCCAGCCGGCAAATTAAAGTTGTAAATATTCCAAATGGGCGCCTGTTCCTTTTTATTTCTATTGGCAAAAGTTTAAATCCAGGAGAGGCGCACAAACATCCCCCATTTCAGGCAAAATTCTGGCTCCCGTTCGCCCCCTTGCTTTGTTTATTAATTAGGCGAAGTTGTCAGGCCCTGTAATTACGAAAGCCTCTCTACTAATTTTGCACCTGAGCTTTCCGATTGTGGTGCCGAGAGAGAGGGGGAAATTCTGCTGACTAAGTTTTCTCTCTTGGCAGAACAGACGAGAAGCCTCTTTGTCTCAGATATGAATCACAAACGGATCAAATTTCGATTAAATCATGATTCCCCACCGGCGCAGGAGACAAATTTTACTGCTTCCCTCTCTTGCTACTCCACACCGACGCAATATTGTTGTATAATCGAGACACAAAAGCAGCCAGAGTCGTAAAGCACTTTTGATGTTTTGGCGGCGCAGCGATTTCATATCGCTTTCGAGCTGCTTTACGGCGGTTTTATTGGAAAATCATGAGCTTCCGCGACTTGATCGCTCTATTCCTGCGCAGATTTGTCACTGGAATTAAGCAATAAAAGCAAATTTATTGGTCATTTGTATGGAAAATTGCGGAAAATTGATTGCAAAAAAACGGAGGATTACATTACACGAGGGGAATTATGTCGTCATAAATGTGTATTATATGTACACAGTGCTTAAATTTAGACTGCATAGGTCACGTAATCACCATAGATGGTTGTTTTCGCAAATTTGGCAGAAATTTTCTATCCTAATTGGCAAACGCTTGCACTTCTCTAAAGGATGAAGTTGTTGTGCGGCATTATTTAGGCCGATTATACGACAGCGGAATGCGCAAGTTTTGATATGCAGATTAAAAAGCATCCCCTCCCTCAAAATTCGAGATTCTTCCGCGCACTTCACACAA